CTGTCAGTATTGCTTGCTAATTGACTGCTTGGTCATTCTAAGCAGCTACAAGAGCTGAGGTCCAAAGGTTTCATCTAATAATTAGGTACAATACTTTCTACAGACAAAGATTTGGAAGATGTCTTCCTCACAGACCATTTCCATCAGTTGTTATATTATAATACAACACTCTTTTACAAGTAACAGAAATAACAATGTCTTTTGCTTACATGGAACTTGGCATAACCCATCCTATAAAGAAAGAATGTTAATAGCCTATTTTATTCACGTACAGAAGCCTATTTTGTTTATGGATTAGCTTCCCTGTTATGCATGCTTGGATATCTAGATTTAATTTGTGAAATAAGAGGTACTTGGCACGTGTACTGGATGTTTCTCTGCCAACTCTTCTGATGAGAGACCCAAGGTGATAGAACTTGTGGACTGCACACTAAATTTGAGAAAGTAATGATTACTTATCAGTTATTTGGCATACTTCAAAAGTGTAGCATTACAAAATTACTCATTACTTCTTGAAAACAGATCTAGGTAACCCTATAGGAAGTTTAAAACAAGTTTGGGAGCCAGATTTAGGTAAACAGCTGGAGGATGCAATGTCTTTAATGAAACCTGGGGAATTGCTATGTGCCTAAGCGGAAGAATTAGATTTTAAAATCTCCCCTCACTATAACCCCTAAAAAAACTCAAATATAACATCTGACCACAAGATGCTGGAAGAGGGACTTTCTTCCCTTAGAGTAATATATACAAATATACATGTCTATACGTTATCACAAGGGCATGCGTAATTAATTTAAAAAAAGCATTTACTGTATTACTGGCTTCTCTGCAAGGTAATACTCCTTGAAAGTATTTTTCAAAGTAATTTATTCTATAAGATGCAACAGGGAGTTGAAATACTTCATGTCATGTGAGATGAATAAATTGTAATGAAGCTTTCAGTGCTGCTATTTCATACTATTATACCTTAAAGGAGTTGCTATTAAAACAGTGATCTGTGTTTTTCTAAATAATAAATTAATGTTTTGAGGCTTAGGTTGTTCAGATTGGCAAGATTTGTTTTAGGGTGGTTACAAAGGATATATATTTATTCTAAAATATGTTTTAAATGAAAACAATCTTAGTAAATTATTCAGTCTTATTTAATAGGACTGTATGGTGATCCAGATTCTCAAAAGCTAATATGTAAATTCATGGATATCTCTGTAGCCTCTGTTGGAAACACGTTAAACATATACTTCTGTGCCTCTGTGTGTTTCGGGTCTCATTTTGCCCTTTCAATTCATTGCCCTATTGGTTAAGCCATACAAAAAGATCTTTCCTCTTTGCTCATGTCACAGTATAAAAATACAAAAAGGAATTCATCTCGGTTTCGTTTAGCATTTTGCTTTTGAAGAGTTGTTGGGCAAAAGATAATTCACTCCAGTGGTGGGATTCAAATTTTTTTACTACTGGTTCTGTGGGTGTGGCTTGGTGGGTGTGGCAGGAGAAGGTTACTGCAACATCCCCATTCCCTCCCCACCCCACTAATCTGCTTTCCAGCTCTGTTCTCCTGTGCAGGGCAACAAAAGAAGACCCAGTCAATCAGCTGGGACTCAGGAGGCAGAGAATAGATGGGGGCAGGGCCAGTCAGAGGTGATATTTGCCGGTTCTCTGAACTACTCAAAATTTCCACTACCAGTTCTCCAGAACTGGTCAGAACCTGCTGAATACCACCTCTGATTCACTCATGTTGAGGTGAGGTTAGAGGCAGCCTGTTGATTGGTACTCCCCTGGCCTTGATTCTAACTGACTTTCTGTTAATGAAACCTTTTCTGATCTTAGAATAAAACTTTTCCTATCTTCTTATCCTCTTCCTCGTGAACAGATTTCTCATAGATATTGTGTGTGACTTTTAGGAATAGTGTAAAATATAATGAGATGGAGTGGCAAATTTAACCTAGCGAACAGAGGAAAATCTAGATCCAAGTGACTGTCTGAGTGAGCATATTGAGTGTCGCAATGTTGGCTAGTTTTACAAGTACTATTTTTTTCTAGCGATTTACTTTTTTGCTTATGATCCCTTCTATGATGATGGCTGTCGGTAGTTTAACAATGCTTTGTAAATTAAGAAAGATGCTGTTTAGACAATGTCCATCAGTGAAGATCCAGATTAAATACTTTTTTGTTATTTATATGTCTTGCAAAAAACACACAAAGCTCCTTCAAAGAATGGCAGCATATGTATGTCTAGGAAACATTTTTTGCGAGTCAGATCATTTGGAATGTTGAAAGCATGAGGTTTGTGTACTTGCCAAACAGCGCCTTGCAGAGATTGTCTATTTATAAAATGGCTGTTGTGGTGGGTGAAGAAAATTAATGGCACATAAAATACTAGATGACCAACTTACGTTTGCTTCCAGCTGTCCACACTGGGTTGTAGCCACCCAACTTTTTATTTTTTTAAGAATCTAAAGTCACTTGGGCTCCAAAGCCATCACTGGAATTGATGCTAGGACAAGAGCTTTTTTTCTGTATTTGGCTAGTTTCTTATCGGTGTTGTTTTTAAATCTAACATAAATCAAAATCAGATGAAACAAAGAACCTATTCATGTTCTCAGTGGTACTCTAGAGCACCTTGTTGCCAACTGGGCCTGCAGTACTTGCTGATGTCATTGATCCATCTTGTTTTAGTGCTCTTTGTGGACACTTTTTTTCAAGTGGGATCCATTCTGTGATTGCCTTAGTCCACCTGCCATCAGTTGTTCTTGCTATATGACCAGCCCACTTCCATTTCAATTCTTTTACTCTCTTGACAATATTGTATACATTCATTTGTTCTCTAATCCATGTACAGGTCTTTATTTCTTGTCTTGAAATGCTGAACATATATCTTTCCATGGCTCTTTGTACCACTCGTAGCTTTTGTGTTGATTGTGAAATTAGTATCCATGTTTCACTGGCATATTTTAGAGCAGGTAGTACACACTGATGGAAAATTTTTCTCTTCAGGCATACGGGGAGGTTGCTCATGAAAATTTAACATGCTGTTCAATTTTCTTTATTGTATTACTTTCCTTTGAGAATATCTTAGATATATCTTGCTATAAAGCAGGGGTCCCCAACCGCCGGTCCGCGGAACAAGTCTTACCGGGCCGCTGGTTGCTGGGC